AAAATCTTACCACTTGAGAGGGCCTTGAAGAAGTTAGTGACCTCAGGGGAAAGCCTAGTTTCTTTTAAAAGAGGTTGTGGGGCTAGTCAAATTTGTTGATCAGAGGACATGTTTTCCGAGTACACAATGGAAGAGCTTTAGAAATGAATAAAGGAGTTCAGGCTAATTTATACAGAACAGGAAAATACAGAGCTTCATGTGAATGTTGATGCAAAACTTTTTCCATAAAAGGCAAACAGAAAATAATTTTGGTTTTGCAAGCCATAAGGTCTCTGTAGCAACTCTCTCAGCCTTGCTGTGATAGCATGAAAGCAGCCATAGAAAATATGTAAATGATCAAGTGTGGCTGTTTTACAAGAAAACTTTATGTACAGTACTTAAATTTGAATTTCATATTTAAATCTATCACAAAATATGATCCATCTTTTGATTTATTTTTTAGGAATTAAAAATGTACAAGCCATTCTTAGCCTATAGGCCACACAGAAACAAGCTGTGGACTGGAATTGGCCTTTGGACTGTAGTTTGCTAACTCCTGCAGTGGAGAATCTTTTGAGGAGAGTGTGTTGGGGAAGTGTAAGTTGGGGCTTATGCTTCCAGGTGTTAACTCATAAAACCGTATTAAAATGTTTCAAGGTTCTCTGTCTTTGAGAAGAACTAACATTTTTGGGGTCTAACTGGCTTATCAACCTGGTTCACATGACCTGCGGTGATGTTGGCCTAAGTGTACTCTCTCATCTGAACTGAGGTAGTGGCAACCCAGAGGTTCTGGCTGTTCCAGGAACTGCAAGCTCTGTACCAGATATGTCTGGAGATGGAGTTGACTCCCAGATCTGTAAACAAGTAGATTAAACTGAAAAGATTGTGGAATATTTCTTCCCAGGTACTTTTCAAAAAGATTCTGGTTTTACAGCATGATGATTTAAAATTTTAGTATCAGAAGAGTTTCTAAAACTTAAGCTGTATGTAATTAACAGGCCAGGTGCAGTGGTTCATGCCTGTAATCCCAGCATTTAGGGAGGCTGAGGCAGGAGGATCACTTGAGGCCAGGGGGCTTGAGACCAGACTGGGCAACATAGCTAGGCCCCATCTCTACAAAAATAAAAAAATTAGCTGAGTGTCTTGTGGTACATCTGTTGTCCCAGCTGCTTGGAAGGCTGAAGTGGTAGGATTGCCTGAGCCTGGGAAGTTGAGGATGCAATGAGCTGCGATCATGCCACTGCACTCCAGCCTGGGTGACAGAGCAAGACTCTGTCTCAAAAAAAAAAGGAATTAACAAAATGTGAATTTGCAAAAGTAATATTTTAACAAGCTTAACAGGTACAGTAGTGGAAATGCTATTTTAATTAACCTTAATATTAGAGCAAGATGACACCATAATGTACTTTTCAATTGTAAATCATAAGAATGACCTTACAAGTAGAAGCTTCATTTCAGGGCTTTTGACAGAAACTTATAGTGATACTAATTCATACCACTGATAATTTACTCTGAGAAAATAATTACTGAAGGCTGGCATTGCTTAAATACTGCAAAGATTTTTCATTCTTCAAGTAGGAAGGAATGACAGTGTTGCTCATGCATTATTAAATTTTAGTATTTGATTTTCTAATGCCAGTTTTAAAACTCGTTTAACTCTTAAAACTTGCACAAAGGTTTGGTTTGCACACACATTTTTACTGATGTTTTAGCTCAATGAAAAGGGGAGTCTTTGAGTTAGAAAATGTTGTAACCAGTCAGAATGTCTATTATGAAAAGTCAAAAAAACAACAGATGCTGGCAAGGCTGTGGAGAAAAGGAATGATTATATACTGTTGGTGGGAATGTAAATTAGTTCAGCTACTGTGGAAAGCAATATGGAGTTTTCCCAAAGAACTCAGAATTATCATTTGACCCAGCAATCCCATTACTGATTATATATATCCAAAAGAAAAACCATTCTGCCAAAATGACACATGCACTCGTATGTTCATCACAGCACTGTTCTGAATAGCAAAGATATGGAATCAACCTAGGTGCCCATCAAAAGTGGATTGTATAAAGAAAATGTGGTACATATGCACCATGGAATACTATGCAGCCATAAAAAAGAATGAAAGTATATCCTTTGCAGCAACATGGATGCAGCTGGATGCCCATGGTCCTAAGCAAATTAATGCAGGAACAGAAAACCAGATACCACATGTTCTCACTTATAAGTGGGATCTAAACATTGGGTACTCATGGACATAAAGATGGCAACAACAGACACTGTGAACTACAGGGGGAGGGAAGGAGGGACTGATTTTTTTAAGACTCAAAGGCAGCAATATTTAAAATAATTTTAAAAAATTGTTGAAATTTTGCTCGAAGTAAATGGGACTACCTTCAAGTAGATTATAGTTTTACTTAGTTTAATTGGTAAATTGTAACTTTAAAGGATACTTAGATATTTGAACCTTCGCTCATAACTAGGAAATATAAATTATACCAAAGGACATCATTATACTTTTAAATACAGTAATCACTTCATAATATTAAGCTTCATAATATTAAGAAATTGAAAACTGAACACGAGGACTGGAAAGATAAGTAATGTGGGGTTGTAAAGAGGAGATTATGTCTTGCTTAGGGTCTATAAGACCTACTGTAGATCCTTAATAGTATTCAGACATGATTGGCTAAGGAGCAATTTGTGCTGAATTATCTCCCTTGAGTATTTCTGTCACTGAGAGTGGTGGTGAAAGTGATCCATTTTCACTTTCCCTGCAGTGACAGGAGAATTTTGCCAGTCAGACACCAACTGTGTTAATTAGAGTATTAAAATAAAAACAAGCATGGATCCCGTGCCAGTGTCAGTCAATATGTTCCACTCCTCTTTTTGTTTCAAGCCAAAAGAACACTCTAGTTTCTTTTCCTGATACTTCTTTCTTATATTTTGAACATTGCTTTCCTAGCATCTTTGGTAAAGACTGAAGTCCATGGGATGGGCATCCTGGATGAACTTGTGGGCAGTAGTTACTGAAGAAACTGACCCACAAGAGTGAAAAAGAAGGCAGGAAGAATAACCAGGGTTATTTAGAGAATCACTAGGTTGTTACATTCTTTGCAAGCACTTCGTTATTGAACCAGGTAAAGCATTGATGTTGTGAATGATCTTTTCCTCATAAATTAGAAAGCTCAAGAATATTCCTACCTGGGGGTGGTGGCTCATGCCTCTAATCCCAGCAATTTGGGAGGTCGAGGCATGTGGGTCACCTGAGGTCAGAAGTTCGAGACCAGCCTGATCAACATGGAGAAACCCCGTCTCTACTAAAAATACAAAAAATTAGCTGGACAGGGTGGCGCATGCCTGTAATCCCAGCTACTGGGGAGGCTGAGGCAGGAGAATCACTTGAACCTGGGAAGCGGAGGTTGCGATGAGCTGAGATCGCACCACTGCACTCAAACCTGGGCGACCAGAGTGAAACTCCATCTCAAAAAAAAACAAAACAAAACAAAACAAAACAAAAACTGTAACATTATTCCTAATAACGAGCAGGTATGCATTCTTGATTGCGAGAAAAACAGCAGCAAAACATTGCTCTGAATTGCTCAATGCTCTGAATTGCAGCTAGTGTACAAGAAACATGCAATGCTATGAATGGCCATGGGAGCATGTGGTCCATGGGGACATGATTAGTTATGTATAGGAGTAGAGTAGAATAAAGGCTGAGAACCTCTGGTACATAGAGCCTAAGAAAGACCAATTTGTCAAATTGATTTGTCAGTTAAATATTTACCTTTAATATTCAACCTGTCTTTTGATAGAGCAACTGTATAAACCAAATCAGTCACAATGTTTGAAAGCTGTTCTATAGGCTGAAAGGAAAGTTCAACTTTGCCTCTATATAAACACTAAGCTATTGAAATACGTACATTGTCACAAAGCTACTGAATGGTTAAGCCAGGACTAAATTATGGGCTCCAATAATAAAGTAGGGACAGAAGTGAGCAAAAAGAGGCAGGTAGTATCAGCAGCTGAAAGATGGTTTGAGCAGTTGAAAGATGTTTTGTTTACTATAATCATATTAATATAATTCACATTGTCCTTCAGTAGTAGTTCTTGGTTATGGGAAAGTAATATTATAGCTGGGAATAGTAAAAAATGGATGGCAGAGTCCTTTCAATTTCAATTTGGAAAATATTTTGTATTTTTAGATGAATATGGTGAATTTCATGTTTTGGAAGTTACTACTGAAAACCTAATAACAACCTGCCTCAGGTTACCTGACACTCCTCCAACCCCTTCTGTTCCCTTGATTTTCCTCACCTTGTGAGTAGAACTTTCTTTCTAGCTGAAGCATGTTTAAGTCTTCCTTGAAGTTGGAAAGATGATTGCCACATTGGGTTCAAAGGGCTACATGTAAAATAACAGGAACAGGTCATGATATTATAATATTTAAGAAGAGTGCATATTAGAAACCATTAAAGGTAAAGTCCTTGAGACTCATATTCATGGAAAACCTGAAATGTGATTTATTCAGTTCAGTTTTTAGTACCCAAACAACATAAGTTATCAAGGTGAACTGTGATCAGACTATTTTTATAATTTATATTAGGACACTTGGAAAACATTTAAAAGCTAAGGAAAGTAGGTACTTAAAATCTAATTTAAAAGGTAATATCCTCTCATTGTGAAATAAATGCAACATACAGAAAGTTGCAAGAATAAGACAAACATCCCTCAGAGTTCTAAAGGTCTACCATTTATTAAATAATAGATAACCAGTATTTAATATTTGTTGCATCTTCTTTCTTTTTTACTGATACTTGTGTGTTTTTTACACACACACACAAGTACAATTAGGATGTAACAATTTTAACTGCCTTTAAATTTCATATATTAGAACATTTTATAAATCATTAAATTTTATTTTATAATATAATTTTTAATAACTGTGTAGTATAGAAAGGAGTTTAAATGTATATTCAGTTTAACCAGAGTTTACTAAATTATTTATAATTTTTTTCTTGCACAGGTTTTAGATACTTGTACAATGAGAATGAATCTAAATTTACCAGCCAGATATTTTTATGATTTGTATGGCAGAAAAATTGAAGATATTTCAAAAGGTAAGTGGCAGAGATTTTGTAAACCATTTGATAATATTTTGAAAGACATTTATATTTTGTTTTTACTTTGAACATTTAAAAGAAAAACATATAATAAAACATGTTTAATTATAACATGGATAAATATTCTTATACAAAGGGAAATCGTGAAAGGACATTAAGATTTTAGGAATTTTTTATTTCAAAACAAGTTTGGAGTTTTTAAAAAATTGACGGGTATTTTAACCTTAGTAAACCATAATTAAATAAAAGTAATTAATACATTTTTATAATGTTATAATGTAACAGCCAATTTATATAGGATACAGCTTTCCAAAGACAAAAATAAGAAATTGCATTACTGTATGATCACATAGAGGTTTTAAAACTGTTTTGGTCAACTTCTAGAGCTTTTTCAAAAGTTACGAAATGTAACAAATGTACCAAACTAACTGTAGTTCAGTTTGGAACCACTAGGAAGAACTCCAATAACCCATTACTCTCTACTAAGCATGTATATCAGCAGTATGCTGGTAAATGTTATCAACTGACTCTGGAAAAAAAAAAAAAGGCCTCGATTTGCAGCATTTAGCAACTTCATGGTGTAGGTGCTCGTACCATGACCAATTTCAAGCTACCACTGAATGCAGAGTTCAGAGGGAAGGGTTTTAACTCACTGAATAAAGTATTTGGAGAAGAGATGAGAACAATTGGCTTTTGCAGACTGGTACAAGTTGGCTCTAGCACATCAAAGTATATATCCCTTGTCACAGAATTGACGGATTAGGAATTAATTTGACAGTAGAGAAGTTCACTCACTAGGTTCTTGCATTACCAACTCTACTACTATGTAGTACTTATTCTGGACCAGGCACTAGTCTAAGCTCATCACAAATATTAACTCTTTTAGCTCTCAGAGAAACTGTAATTCCTATTTATTGCAGTAACTGAGGTACAGAGAACTTAGGTAATTTGCTCGACATCACACAACTAGCAAGTGGTGGAGTTGGGACGCAAACCTTGGCAGGCTGGCTCCAGTAGCAGCACTTTTAACCATTGTACTCTGTTCTCTCTCTCTCTTTCTGCCTCCCTCTCTCTTTCCACTTTAGTGTCTCGTCTATGTCAGAACTCCATTTGTTTTCCTAGTACTTTCCATACAGGATGTAATTATTGTATTGCTTTGTTACTTTTTTGTGTATATGCACGCTTCCTACCAGACTACAGACTTCCTGGGAACAGGCACTCAATAAATAGTACTTGGATTTTTGAATGAGTCTTATGTCACTCTCCCACATGATCTGTTTCTACCACAATGTAACGTAAAAGAGGGCAAGAACAGACACTAGCTTTGTTGTAATACTAGTAATAAGCACAGTGCCTGGGACATAGCTGACACTCATAAATGTGGCATGAATGAATTAAACTGTCTACTCTTGGACCTTTAGTTGGTTCCACTGTTATACTATTAAAAGTAACTCATCTTCAGTCAAGAAAAAAAAGTTATGAATTGTACTTTAAAGTAATTTCATTGTCTTTGTCCAAAGAGATTAGATACCCATCTAATATCTCTAAAAGTACTGTTTTGTTTTGCTAGCCTCATTTGTGAGTTTAAATTTCACATTCATGAGTTTAAACGTGTTATTGAAATGGTCCTATAATTTCATTCAAACTTTAACTCCATGCTTGGTGAGGGCAGGATATTAAATAACATGCCTTTAACTGCGAGGGTAGTGATTCAAACAACTAAAGTGATTTTGGGATGTGGCTACAGCAGATACTTCCATTTGTTTCCCATTTTCTCACTTGTACTATATAAAAGCAGACTGTTTCCTTAATTTATCATCCTTCATTAATACTTACTGAATGATAACTATGATATTTTGATACTTATTGTTTCTAAGTCAAATTTTTTGGCCAAGGATTACATATGTGTGTATTCAGAAAGTAAATTTGTTTTTCTTGGCCTTTTAAAAAATGTTTTTATTAGATATCATAACTGTTTTTCATTTTATTACATGTTTTTATCTGAAGATTTCAAATCTCCTGTAGATACCTACCCGTTATCTAGAAGGATTAGGTAAGGTTATTTATCTGCAAAACATGTAACACAAAGAATCCTTCCTTTTGTTCTTTGGGGTTAATAAGAGTGTCATTATTAAAGCTGATTTGTTTCTTTCTTGCATTTCTGTCTCCTCCTCCATTCCTCTTGCTAAGATTTTCTTTATGATCAACAATATTTTGAAATTACTCTTAAACTAGCATTAATAAAAATAAACAACATATTTTCTTAATACCCTATCTAGACTTGAATTATTTCCAGTTCACCTGGAATTAAAACATCAGATGTGAATAAAAATGCTAGAATTGAAACTAAGGAATCTTCATTAAGATGCGATTTATATTTAGAAAGTTTATTTTTCTCCTCCCAAATATGGTATAGCAGCATTACTTATCAAAACAGAAAAGCACTGACTCTGAGATGTGATACTTCATGGATGCCAGAGGCATTCAGATTCATGCCTCATTCTTCACATATCCCAGAAGTGTGCTATTATCACATTTTAATGCATGCCTTGCCCTCTGTTTTTGCATCCTTGTAAAAGCTTATGCCAGGTGAAATTAGGCTGTGCAACCACTAACATGTGGAAGCATTACAAGTTCACTAGACTTAAAATATTTAAAGAAGCTAATCCTGTTGGAGGAACTTCCAGTCTGTAGCGCCCTAGTCACTTAACATTAGGTTTTTGAACTTCTGTTTTCTTTGTTTCTATGATGTTGTGCATCAAATGATTGAGGTCCCTAAACTTTTGTGTTTGATGGTCTTCTGGAGTTCAACTTGGGAAAGGTCAAGTTTTATGTGAAAGTTGTCTTTTAATTTAAACAAATAAATGCTGATACTCTTGATTTGATGTATATCTCTTTTTTTTTCTTGCTTTGTATCAGATCAGAAAAAATCTTTTAATAATGTCTAACGTTAAGATCATAGCAATTGCTTTTTATTTATAAGCACAGATTAGAACTGTAATTGTACCAAGGACTAAAAGCAACAGATACACAAAATAAAAATTTTCTCCTACTTATTGCTTCTTTTTTGGAATTAGATATACTTTCAAGTTTTCCTTCTATGCTGTGATAAATAAGCACATTTGATATAATATTAAACTACTTTTACTTTGTCAAGTAAACCATGGAAAAGACAAACAGGATTGGCAAATTGCTTGTTTTTAGATTTTATTCTAAACCATAGACAATTTTTTTTTCCTGAGACTGTGTCTTGCTCTGTTGCCTAGGCTGGAGTGCAGTGGTGCAACCACAGCTCACTGCAGCCTTGAACTCCCAAGCTCAAGCAATCCTCCCACCTCAGCCTCCCCAGTAGCTGGGATTACAGGTGCAGGCCACTGTGCCTACTTTTTAAAAACAAATTTGTAGAGATGGACTCTCCCTCTGTTGCTCAGGCTGGTCTTGAACTTCTGGGTTCAAGCAATCCTCCTGCCTTGGCCTCCCAAAGTGCTGGTATTACAGGCATGATCCACCATCCTGGCTTTTTTTTTTTTCCCTCCAGTAAAGATAGAGTTTAATTTATGTGAGGCTGGCCACATGGAAGAAGTCATTACTCAATTCAACCTCTACCACAGAAGATTTTAATAAAGAAATTTTTATTGTTACATGTGAAAAAGTTATTTTATTATGGTTCCTGTATAGATCTATCCTTTCTACAATATAAAGGAGTACACCTACTGGGTACAGATACCATATTCCTGCAGATGGTCAACATGCTGGTACATATACAGTTATTCCTTGGTGTCTGTGGGGGATTGGTTACTGGAGGCCTCTCCCATACTAACATCCACAGTTGCTCAAATCCATTATATAAAATGGTATAGTATTTGCATATAGCCTATGCACATCATCTTGTATACTTTAATCTCTAGCTTACTTATAATACCTAATACTGTGTAAATGTTATATAAATAGTTGTTACACTGTGTTATTTTTATTTCTGTATTATTATTTTTTTTAAAAATATTTTTCACTCATACTTGGTTGAATCCAGGGATGTGGAACCCAATAAGATGGAGGGCCGATTATATATATATGCATAAAAAATACATTCTGCAAAATCACACCCACCAAAATAACAGGGATATGGGGAAACTAGGGTTTGGGAAAACCATTGAAAAGTCTGTTTACCTTTAAAACCACAATACTATCTAAAATAATAATGATTAACTTAGGAGATAATGTAAATAGCTGGGTAGGCACCTTGGAGTGCTGCTTTAGAAGATATTAAAGCTGCACAAAAACAATAGAGTGTGAGACAATGCAGATGAAAGTGAAGTGGAGATTTGGGCCAGTGGGGCTTCCTTTAAGGAAGGCCCAGGAGGAAATGAAATTCCCACAATGAGAGAGTTATATAAGGCCAAGGATGCACCTTTCTGGGGTGGTAAGTACAGCAGCCAAGCTAAGACGATTTTTTTTCTTTCCTGATAAATGATAGAATTCTACTACTTCTCTTTTGGCTTCCTTTGTTTAGGAAAAAGCACATATTTATTAACCAAACTTCAGTATCACTTTGACGTCATTCCTCTATTTACTAATTATATACGAGCTATTTGATGTTATATAAGCATTTCAAATGGAAGACAGATGTAGACAGTGTCTGATTTCAAGGGAGGTTTGAAATAACACACTCATTCCTCCTAACATTTCCAAACTTTTTGATCTCTTAACTTCTTTGGCTTAATTATTACATGATGGTGAACCAGAGGAGTCACTCTCCCTCTCAAGGGAGGAGATCCTTAGTCTGTTAGGACCTCTATGAGGGATCCATTCCAATAATCATACCCTCGTTCTTTGTCATAATGAGTACTGTTAAATTTACCCTAGTGGTTCTGAAATGAGTTAGAATACTACATTAATTAAATTGACTCCAAGATCATTCTAGACATACTGAATGTTCACTTCCTATTTCATTTCCTACCCCAAATTATGCCCAGCAATACTGTCCAAAATAATTGTATATTCTCTGATAAATTTTTTGGAGATTCTGAATTTAGATTAAGTACAGGATTAATATATTTCATCATAAAATTCCAATAACATAGAGATGAATTTGAATGTTAGCTCTTGCCCATTATCAACTTTTTGTGGAGACATTAAAATTAAAAGAATAAAATTTCAAATAAAATCCAAAATTTTAAAGTCCACCCAGAAGCAAATTTCAAGATCAAATTATCTTACTTTTTTGAGTTAAAAACAAATAAAGTTTCAAACTCTTCAAGTTAAAGTGCAAAGAAATCAAAGTCCTAATTTTTATTCTTTCTGGTATCAGCCAGATGGCTTCTGGATGCCTGACTGGAGCTGGAATGTCTCCAGCAGCTACCGTCTGGGCTCCTAGAGTGGGTGTCATCCCTTAGGACCTCAGAAGTTGAATTAGGTCTACACCAACATTTTCATATGCCTTGTTTGCAAGCAAACAAAATGATTATCACAACATCAACAACATAGCCAGCACATTCACAACAGTAGCCACTCCCAGCAAATGTGGCCATTGCATGCAAAATGATGTTTCCAGGACCCTATGTTTGGCATAATTCAGACCCACATGATGGCTGCCAAAGACCCTAACAGAGACTAAGTGAGGAAAGGCAGACAAGAGAAAATATTATCGTCAGTCTTTCCAAGATGCCAGTTGGCCCCTGCTGTTGACCAGGCTCTATGACCTGTGACCTAACCTCTTGGGAAGCAATCTCCCATTAAGACATTACTTACAGCATTATAAGTTTACAGTATCTTGAGGGAAAAATTGACCAGTGCACACTGTCTTCTGTCTCAAAGAGGCTGCACAAAGTGTTGGTTAAGTTCTCTGATTTTTGAACCAGAATTCAAATTCCAGTTATGCCACGGACTGTATGACCTTGGACAGATTACTTAACTTCTCTGAGAGTCAGTTTCCTTAAGGTAGGAATTATAGTATTTACCTTAACAACATTGCAAAGATTAAGTGAAATATATGTTAAGTCCTTAGAGCAAGTGCCTGACACTTGGTAAACATTATAAGGTATAATGTTTCAATAGTATAAAATTAGCTTTCATCATTATTGCTGTTATTATTCTTTTTATTTTTTTTTTCTTTTGCAGTGGAGTCTTGCTCTTGTTGCCCAGGGTGGAGTGCAGTGGCGCGATCTCAGCTCACTGCAACCTCTGCCTCTTGCATTCAAGTGATTCTCTTGCTTCAGCCTCCTGAGTAGCTGGGATTACAGGTGCCTGCCACCACACCCAGCTAATTTTTTTTGTATTTTTAGTAGAGATGGAATTTCACCATGTTGGCCAGGCTGGTCTTGAACTCCTGACCTCAGGTGATCCGCCCGCCTCGGCCTTCCAAAGTGCTGGGATTACAAGCATGAGCCATCGAGCTCTTAAAGAGGGAACTGAGAGTGAGAGTGTTTCATTCTTGCAACATCTGGAAGTTTGCATTGGTGGTAGCACCAGTCATAAAGACTTATTTGAGGTATCATTTTTTCTTTTTAAAGAATTCCAAACATCTTAATGTTCTTTCTTTCTTTCTTTCTTTCTTTTTTCTGAGTCAGTGCTTCTAAACCCCATGCTCAACTGAGGGTGGTCACTGTCTGGTTTCATAGCATCCATCTTGTCTTAGGAGTGGCATCTTCAATCATAGTGGTTGCTGTAACAGCCTCTGCCTATGGAATTATTTAAGCCTAAGAAATTTACTTCATGGGCACAGCTTCCCCCTCATCTCTACATCAGTTCCAACTGTAGAATAACTTTTGGCAGATTTCCAAATTGAAGCAGGTATTCGTGTTTCTGAGGCTTATGTGCCAATGGTCCCAGTTAGGACCAACACTGCTGCCATTTCCTCCTAAGGACATGGTCTTTCCTCAGTTTTTTAATGCTCCTCCTCTTGAGTTAATGTTTCTGTCAGGCACCTCGTTTTCTGCAATGCTTAAGGTTTGCTTCTACTATACACTGCTTCCTTTCAGAAAGTTCCCTTTTCTAACAGGCTTGGAGTTAGCATTGTTTGCCACAATTGAGTATCTTCTTTTCTTTCATTAATACCTTCCTTTTGCTTTCTGGCCCATACTCATATTTTTCTAACATATGCCTCTGGATATTTTTTCTTACAGAGTCTCTCATAGTGAGAGATATGAAGTCAATCAGTTCTAAGTTTGTCAATAGCATCCTTTGTTCAAACCAGTCTTATCTATTTTCACTTCTGTTAATTAAATAATTCTACCCAGGATGTATTTCTCTCACAGTCTAACATCTAACTTGGATCTGGTGTCTTTGATCAATTATTGTTCTGCCTGAATTAACTGTAATGTAATTAATCTTGTCTTTGTCTTTCCTTAATCTCAGGCCCATCTATTTTTAGAGTTCACTCAGCACTTTTTTGTAATATTTTTACCAATCTTTCTCTCCAATTTGTCCAGATTTTATGTTCACTCTTTGTATAATTGCCCTATCCTCAAAAGAGATTCCCCAGAAGTGATCCCCAAAAGAGATTCTTACTATAAATTTATCTGTAATGTAAATACCAACTCTTCGAAGCGTTCGAGATCCTGTCTCCTCTAGGGGATTGTTCTCAGTCTGCTCTCCAAGATCTCATCTTTATTCTTCTAAAAGGTTTCACTGGGTCCCAGTTACTGTTTCTGATTTTGTAGCAAATAAAATATTTTACCCTTTTATAAGAACTTCTTTAAGAGTAATTAGACTTGAATGGGTCTCCCTCACCTGACGTTTAGGATCTCAGGTTTTAGCATGTTTGTGTGTGTTTCCTACCTGTCAAATATGTGTGTGCTTGGGTCAGACATGTACCATTTTTCTAGGGAAATTTCTGATCTCCTCCAGCTAAATCAGTTTGTCTTCTTTAATTTTATTTTCATGCATACACTGTTCTCTTCTGATCATAATAATTAAGCATATTTTCAAGCCACTTTACTTTCTCCTTGATTCCTTTAGCAATCTGATTCCTAGATTAGCAACACTTCCTTCGAATAGTTTCTGTACCTTAACTGAAGAAGATAGAGTGTTCCTTTTATGTAAAAAGTCTATCACCTTTCTGTAGGTGAAGCCACAGTTTGGGTCTATGAAATTTAGAACCATGGTTAAAATTTATATGATAAAATTTAAAGCCTACTTTGATTGGTGGAGGTTACTTTAAAAGTTTATCAACAAGCCACGTGAATCTAATGTTAGCTCATCCACATTTCCTTTTCGGCCCAGAATGCAGTTGACTATAACATAATGAAGAGTAGAACTGAAGGCAGCAGATGTAATGCTTCCTATCTAGGCCCAATATTAACAATTTAAAGACAGAACGTCACTGTCATGCACGTAGAACTCAGTTGCCATTATCCTTGAAAGTGCTGGTCTACAGATTTGCCTTCAAGATACAGAAAAGCAGCAAATATTGTTCCACCTTGCAACACCTAAAATAATGTAATCCCAATCTCAAACTTGCCTGAAGTTTCAGTTGAAGTTCACAGCTTGGTTAAGTAAACAGTAGCAGCCTGCACAGTAAGGAAGTCATGATCAGCTAGTAGAGCTAAGGCCTCCACAGCCCACCTGAATATACTAATGCCATATCCAATCTCAACATTGTCTGAAGGTCAAGACTGTTGGAAGATAATCCCAGCTGCATTTAGTTGCTTTGACCCATCAAGCTCAAATTCTGTGTAGTCTTTGCTTATTAGAAAATTTAAGGTCAGTTTCCCTATTCTCTATATACAGGTCTGTTAGTAAAATTACAACTACAAAACTGTATATTCAACTACATGACCCAATATAGGCAGCTAGACACCACTGAAGTTAAAGGCAAACAAACAAATCTTAAAGCCCTACATAGCGCTTGCATATTAAAGCACCATCAAAACATGACACCACTCAGTCAAAGCCCCTTCATAAGTCTCGAACATTTTTGTTATTTGCTCTCCAACATCACTTCTGTATTTCCCAAGGTTTCAGACTAATTTGACCCCATAAGTATAGCACTTTCCTGAGTTTTGTGAGACATCTAGAAATTATTTAACCTGAAGGAGTAGTATAAATCCCAGAATTTGTAGCCAGCTGGTCAGAAGTGAGAGTGGCATGGGGATTCCCAAACATGTGGCTGTTGTCTTAAGTAAAGACAGTTTTGTGGAGGATTGGACTGTACTCTTAACCTTGCAAACTACTTGCAGTGAATTCACACTTCCCAATTTCAAAACTTACTACAAGTAAAACTACAGCAATTCAAAGAGTGTGGTATTGGCATAAGGACAGGCATATAGACCCATGGAATAGAATTCAGAGTCCAGAAATAAACCAATACATCTGTGACCAATAGACTTTTGACAAAGGTGTCAAGACCATTCACTGGGAAAAGAATAGTGTCTTCAATCAGTGGTGCTGGTAGAACTGGATATCCACATGCAAAGACTGAAGTTGGACCCATACTTCACACCATAAATGTGAATTAACTCAAAATGGACCAGCAATCTAAATAAAAGGGCAAAAACCATAAAACTCGTAAATAAACGTAGGTGCACATTTTCACGACTGTGGATCTGGCAATCAGTTCTTAGACATGATATCAAAAGTATGAGCAAAAAAAAGAAAAAAATAACTAAACTGGACTTCATTAATTTTGGAATTTTTGTGCACCAAAGGACATTATCAAGAAAGTGAAAAGACAAACCATAGAATGGAAAAAATATTTGCAAATTATCTATCTGAAAAGGGTTTAAACCTAGAATATATAAGGAACTCATGCTCAACAACAAAAAACAAACAATTCAATTAAAAAATTGGCAAAGGACTTGAATCAATGTTTTCCCGAAGAAGTTATACAAATGGCAACAAGCACATGAAAAGACACTCAGTATCCTCAATCATTAGGGAAATGCAAGTCAAAATTACAATGAAGTACTACTTCACACATATTGGGATGGCTATAATAAAACTCACACACACACAAACACACACACACACACACACAGAGAGAGAGAGAGAGAGAGAATAACAAGTGTTGTTGAGGATGTAAAGAAAGTGGAAGGAACACTCACACATAGCTTGTGGAAATGGAAAATGGTGCAGCTACTTTGGAAAACAATTTGATGAGTCCTCCAAAAGAAAAACACAGAATTACCACATGGCCCTGTAATCCCACTCCTAGATATTTAGGCAAAAAAATTAAAAACAGGTACTCAAACAAGTATATGTACATGCATGTTTATAGCAACACTACACATAATAGCCAAAAGCCAAATGTCCATGAATGTTCATGAAGTCAAATGTCCTATGACTGTAGGAACAGATGGTAGTATATACATACAATGGAATGTTATTCAGCTATGAAAAGGAATGAAGTGCTGATAATGCTACAGTATGAGTGAACCTCGAAAACATGCTCAGTGAA